CTTCTTCTTCTTCTTCTTCTTCTTCTTTCTTCTTCTTCTTTTCTCTCTCTCCTCTAATTCTTCGACTCCTAGCGTCGCTGTTTTGATCGTTGATGTTGTCATTCTTCTTCTTCTTTCTTCTTATCATCTTCCTCTTCTTTTTCTAATCTATTTTTGCTCATTTCTTCTTCATCTTCTTCTTCAGCTTCGTCTTATTTCAGTCTTCATTCTTCCTCTTCTTCTCTCTAACTCACTTTCTTTGTCTCTTGATTTTTGTAACGTTTGACCTACATTCATTAACTGGGGGAACTACATTATTTGGATAAAACTTGGAAGTACGCAATTTTGAAGGGTAAAAATAGAATAATTTGTCATTTGTCATATAGTTCAGTCGATTCCTATCAAAAACTCTGATTTTGTTTTTGACGTTTCAGAGTTTCCCATTCAGCTAGTGACAAAAGACAAATTATTCTATCCTTCCTAGCTTATAACCTATTCTTGTGAAAAAAACAATCATTGCTTTTTGAATTGCCTTCCGGTTCAAGTTGCAATTTTCTTTGCAAATTGCTAGAATAAATTAAATTTAAAATAGGGGATCGATTTACTTTTCATATTCTTATTCTATTGTTTAGAATACTTAACAACTGAAGACGTTTCTGTCAAAAACGTTGAAAGCACAATCCGATGTAAGATGCAGCATTGCATTGAACGGTTTAAAAAAAACCTGCTCGAAAATATCAAACCAAACACATTACCAATTAAGAAGAAAAAACTTTTAGCCTTACAGCACCAATAAAATAGTTTTTTGAATGAATTGAGTGAACAATTTAAAAAAGCACTCATATGTTTTCTGCCGAAAATCATCTTCAGTTTGTAAAAAAATCTGCTCAAAATTAAAACATTAAACCAAACACATTATCAATTAAGAAGAAAAGACTTTTAGATTTACAGCACCAATAGAAATAGTTTTTTGAATGAATTGAGTAAACACTTTAATAAAAGTACTCCAATGTTTTCTGCCGAAAATCATCTTCAGTTTGTATTTTAGCTTTTTAGAACTTAGATTTTTGCGGGCGTTATATCGACAACACTGATTTCTTAATATGAAAATACAGTATTCTTTACTTTTGGACGCTTATTATAGAAAACAAAATCTACTACACTTTCCAGAACTTTCTCGACTTTCTCAACAGTTCATTACGAAAGTTTTTGTAAACATTTTCAACAAAACTCTTTCGTGTATTCATCATTCATGAATGTAATTATTTTTTATTGGACCACAGGGAGCCCAGTTTAGATCAAAGCGAATGGTGAAAATAAAATTGGAAAAATTAAATAATTAATTATTTTTTAAATTCGAGATGAAGATAATGTCCTCCGTAATGCGAAAGAGTAAAAAATCAATAAAAAAATGCACTAAAACATTTTCTTTTCGCGCGCGCCTTTGTTTTCCTATATCATTCCCGTATACGGTATCTAATGTCGCTCTTAAAGAGTATATATATATCGTATATTATATACATAACAGCGACATTTGATACCATAGGGGAATCATATTGGAAAACAAAGGCGCGGAATGGAATACACTAAAATTTTCCTTTGATAATCATAAGCGTCATTTTGAAATCTGTGATGTTCGCTAACCTCGCTACTCCGCACTCCTTCACACGCTTCTGAGGGACGCCTTCTGTCCATGTAATTTTTATAATAAGATTACTTTGGTGTCCTTTTGAGTGTTGTGATCTTTGTAAAACTTGCTTTCCGCATTCCTTTACACGCTTCAGAGGGACTCCTTCTGACGCTTTCTAAAATTCAATTCCCTGTGGTAGATCGCCTAATACTAAATGGCCGGCAGTTTCTTTTTTTTCCATAAGGATTTTCCTACGCTAGTTAGATATCAATTTGACGGATTTGAGTTACAGGAAGAGGTTACTTAAAGATAGAAAGTTTCACTATTTTATATTCCATTATTTAAAAAATAAATAAATAGATTAAAAAAAAAAAAAAAAAAAAAAAAAAAAAAAAAAAAAAAAAAAAAGAGGGGGAAAAACGGGAGAAGGTATAATTTTTAGGTCACCCATCCAAGTGCTAACCAGCCCTTCTCAGACGACCTTCATTCAGTATCTTGAACGACAACAATTTATCCACTGGACCACCGTTCCAGGTGAATCAGCATAACAATAGCCGTGAAAACAATGCACCGAATAGACTAGACTTTTTAACGCAGTATCTTTCAACCGATTCCGTGCGTGGCAGAGATGCAAGGGATTAGCCGATATGGTCTGGGGGCCGGCTGGTCTCTCCCCTGATGCTTCGGCTAGAACATTTTCTTGCGTAATTCGTACACCCAAGGGCAGAAGGATTTAATCGCCGTCAGGTCCGAAGTCCATACGACGCCCCAGCTCTGCGGATGTCTCGGGGGTATGGCAAAGTGGAATCGTATTTTTTTAAAATTTTTTGGTGGGTTCGAATCCCGTCTTATCTATCCACATATTTTTTTTCATTTCTTTTTTTAATCCATTTTTTATTAGATTTAAATCTTCAACAAAAAGGTAATATTTTAAGTGAAAAAATATTTATTCCCGTTCGGTTGCTTATAAGCCTGTATAAGTTCGATTACACGTTATTATCAGTCATATGAGCGATATCGATCTGCGAAAAGTTTACTGACAAGAATATTTACTGCACTTGGATCATCATATGCCCGCAAAGGACTAGTGGGTGGTGCCGTGAAGACTTCTAAGCACTATTGCACTATTTTGGTGATTCTGACAGAGAACATTGGGATATTTGTTCTCGTTGCGTCATGGCGCAAGATCAAATTCATAAGTAGAGTGAAATGCATAACGAGCGGAGAACCATACTTAAGAAAAAATGGTGGCGCATGAAGGCGCGCAAGGTATTATGGTAGTTGTAGTACACGACTCATCATCTCTGGTTGGTTTCAGGGTACAGATTAAAAGGTCACGTAATGAGTTTACATAATGACATCAGTGTCTTAGATTGTGGTATGCAGTGCTCAGTAACCCCCGGCTGTCGATCTTACAACTATAAAAACAACACAACACCTCAACAATGTGAGTTGAACAATAAAACTGCAGAAGATGAGCCGGCAGATTACGAGGTAGATGTGGCGTTCAACTACTACGCTGAAGTAAGTGTTTACGTAACTTTTCAATTCTATATCGCAGAACAGTTTTCGAACGACTGTGAAAAGCTCACGAACACGGTCGTGACATGGCAAGGCATACACCAGACCAATCATATTGCTCAAGAATTTGCTCTTCCTCCAATCAAATGCTCGGAACACGGCATAAACACGCGGCGGATACGGTCACGCTGAGGTCACGGCACTGCCAGGCCAATCACATTGCGCAAGAAAAAAATCAGCCAATACAGGAGACCCTTTTCGAGTTCCAAATTACCGCTGCGTTTCTTGATTACAGACTCATTTACTCTTGTAGTGCGTGAAAAGAAGACTTTTGAGTTCACGGCAATACCAACTCAACCGAGTTTTATCTCGACCTCGGAATTATTGCCAATGCTAGTTGCATTTTACATAATTGATTTTTAAAACGTTTCAGGACTTGTGTGTGCCCAACCCATGCAAGAATGGAGGTTCATGTCATCATGGTGGATCACCATCTCACACATGGTGTCTGTGTACACAAGATTACGATGGAAATACGTGCACAAAATGTAAGAAATTATGAGTGAATAGACTGTTTTGGAATTAATCAAACACCGCTGTGTTCCTTGATCACAGACTCATTCATACAGGGTTAGCCTCAGAATATTCACAAATATTATATACAACTATTTCAAAAAATTTTGTCATCGCGATAGGCGATAGGCAGTAGGTCATTCCAAGATCCAAGAATAGCTGGAATGACTTGTGTTTCTGCTTCTTATTCTCGTCAAGAACATGGACCTTAGTGTTGAGACTGATTCGATGTTCTTTATATTCAACGAAACCATCTCCATGTCGGAATGACCTATATAAAAAAAAGCCAGAATTAGAAACCGGTGCGGAGCATTGTATTTGACAAATTATGTGGTTGGTTGGTCGATCGTCGATCTGGTTGGTCGAATGTTTGGTCGATCGTTTTCGGTTTCGTTTCGTTACATTAAATAGTTAATTGGTTGGTCGATCGGTCAGTCGTTCGGTTGGTGCACAAGCTAGTGATTTAGGAAGTTAGATAAATAGTTGGTCGGTCAGTCAGTCGGGGTTGGTCGGTCGGTTGGCTGGTGTTCGCCATGATTCGTTCGATTTTGTGCAGAATATTCACGTGTTCCAGTCAAGGTCCATCGAGTTTCAAAGTGTTCGTATTGCTGAACTTGTGCATTCTTTACTTTACCGTTGGTATTTGCGAGTAATAAGACACTGATTCGAGGCTAACCCTGAGCAAATGAGTCTGTAATTTGGTAATTTGGAACTCGAAAAGGGTCTATTGGGTAGTTGGTTTAATGGTCGGTCGGTTGATTTTTGCGTGTTATATGATTGTTTGGTCAAAGTGCTTACATTAAGTATTTCTTTTGTAAATATCTAGTCGTCCCTTTGGGTGCTTTGCCTAAAAAGCCTGCCCAGTCTTGCCTACATACTAATAACTCTGTTGGCGGTGTTGAGGACGGACCAAAGTGGATTGACCCAGGGTACTCAGGCACACCTTTCCTTGTCTACTGCGACATGACCACAGACGGAGGTGAGTAACATGCCAGATGGATTGTGAATAAGGTTTTGAGTTCCAGGCCATGTAATGGTCTGTTGATAGAGAATCAAGTCTATGTAGGGGCACGGCTGACTCACTAATCTAAACCCGAAACAACCTCTGGGCTGATCTAAGTCAGGGCACGGCTAACTCACAGATTGAACCCTGAAACAACCTCTGGGCTGATCTAAGTCAGCTCATGGCTAACTCACAGATAGAACCCTGAAACAACGTTCCTCTGGGCTGATCTAAGTCAGGGCACGGCTAACTCAAAGATTAAACCCTGAAATAACTTCTGAGCTGTTCTAAGTCAGGGCATGGCTAACTCACTAATCTAAGCCCGAAACAACATCTGGGCTGATCTAAGTCAGGGCACGGCTAACGCCAATGATCACAGATCGAATTATTGGAAATTAAAGAATGACAGGTTTTACGAAGGGAGAAAACCCGGAGAACCCATAGAAAAGCGCCCTTTAATCAAGGGAGAGACCTAACAAACTCTACTCACATATGATGCCAAGTTCAGAGATCGAATCCGAGACCCTCCAGGCAAGTCAACTACCACTACGCCACATCTGGTTTACAAATATGAGAATAGGATACACTCATTCATGTTATTTGCTCATCGTAGGTGGATGGCTTTTGGTCAGCAACGTTATCATCCCAAACCCAGTTCAAAAACCCCCGCGTATTTTAACCTCTTCGTTCCACAACATCTCCAACTACAGCGACAACCAACTTTTCATTTCTGCGACCAATCTACGCCAACTTAAACAGCTCATGCCCTTTAGCCAACTCAGATTTGAGTGTTACAAAAGAGAGGTTGGACGAAAGATTGACATCATTACCACAAAAGATTCAAAAGGAACGGCTGTAGTTGATTACTTCACTGCAAAAACAGATGATAGGCCAGATGCTTGCGGTTCGTTCATTCCAGGTTCTGGAGATAACTCCATGATTGCTCGAGAGTGTGCGAATTGGAAGTTAGGGAAATGGGGACATTCGAGAAAGAATGAAGACAGATTATTTGATCATACTTTCTATGTTCCCTCCAGATACCATTGGGTACTGCGGGTTGCCACATTTGACTGTGATGGCAACAGCGTTCATTTAACACCTGGAGATTTTTGGAAGATATATGTGCGCTGAACTGATAATGGAACGATTCGAAGATACTGCAGCCATCTTGGATCGCAAGGTTTTATGGGGAATCCTGGGGGAAAATAGAGCGTTGTTATAGTAATGACGTCGATTGATCACATTTACTCCCTTATAAGAGACAAATACCCGAAACTTGGTTCGCGTCATTTCTGTTCTTATTACATCCATTTTGAAATCACAAGCAAACCCTGCAATCTGATTGGTTCCCTGCAGCAGTGATTTCAGCCTAAATTGCACGATTTTGCATATCATCTGATATGAACCAATCACAAGAGAGACATGTCATTTCCTAGCCAATTATATTAAGGAATCCATTTGAGTGTTGAGCTCGCCGCTTCTTGCGAAAAAAAAGAGCCACGGCTCAAAAAACTTTTTTCTGAAGAACGATTTTACCGTAAAGAGTCGTAAAAAGGACTTGAAAAGACCAACTGAGCACTTAAGAGTGCATGTCAGCAAAAATCAAACAAATTCGATATTTCGCGGCCACGGTTGAAAAATCGATTTTGCTCAAATTTTGTCCAGATGTACTTTATTATATCACAAAATGCACTGCATAGTTTTTTAAGGAAAATATATTTTTATTTTTGAGAAAATGCCGTTTTAAAA